GTCCGTCCGTCTGGGAACTGCACAATGCGCGCTGTTGGCTCCGTGTGGTGTGCTCGGAATCATGTTTGCCTGGGTACCCATCCCGAGCCCAATGGTCCGGGGGAGATACGTGCGCTTCGTGGTCTGGGCTGGAGGCTGGAGAGCTATCCTTCTCGAGACGTGCCGCGAGAGCGCGAGAAGTGCCCGCGCGCGGCGCGAAGCGCGAAGTTAGGCGACCCAGGCGTCATGAGCTCGCTTCGGTAACCTCCCGCTGCTGTCCGTCCCGCTCTGCAGCTGCTGTCCCCGCGCTCGCCGACGTGGCCGCAGCTGCTGTCGCCGTCGTCTCTGAGCCGTCGTGGCAACCGCCGCCGCCGCCGCCGTCGTCGCCGTCCGCTCCGCGTTGCCGGCGCCGTCGCCGCCGCCGCCAACGCCCAGCTCGCCGCCTCGCCCTGATCCTGCTCGGCCGGTGCCCTCCAGCTTGCCCCCGCCCTCCCGCTCGCCCCGCCGCTGCCCTTCGCCCCCCCCCCCCCTCCGCTGTTTCCCTGCTTCCTCCTCCACCACCTCCTCCACAGCTGCACAGTGTGAGTATTACTCCTCTCTCTCCCCCCCCTGAACCTGTGCCTTCGTGGTCCCGCATAGCGCTTGCACGCGGGATCTCGAGCTCTGCATGCCTTGGGCATGGGTTCTCCCGTCGCAGCGTCTCTCCTTACACAGTGCCTGCACCCAGGGGCCTTCCTTCCGCAGCTGAGGCATCGGATGGGGCCCGCCGAGATTCTGCCTCCGTCGCCGGCCGTGGGCGCCCGTCACTGCCGCTGCCTCGGGCTGCCCGCCGCGGCCTCGCAGCTTCGCCGCCCGCGGCCGCCTCGCTGCCGCCACCCTGGGGGGGGGGGTCCGCCCAGGTTCCCCAGAGCACCTCGAGTCCTGAAGCCACGGCGCCGGGGTTGTCTCTGCTCTGCGGCCCCTGCGGGCCCGGCCTGGGCCGCGGGAGCGTCCAAGGAACGACTCGGTGTGGAAAGCCAGTCCCAGGGAAGGGGTCGAGAGACCCCTGGGGGTCGGCGCCATGCGAACTTCCTGACGCCCGGGGTCTGTGTTCGCCGCATCGCCGCCCGTGGCCGCCTCGCTGCCGCCCACTTACCGCTCAGGCCCGTCGAGGTTTCACTGCGCTGCCCGCCGACGTTTCGCCGCGTCGCCGCCCGTGGCCGCCGCGTTGCCGCGCAGTTGGTGGTACGTCGAGGCTTCGCCCTGCCGCCCGTGGTCGCCTACTTGCCGCCCACGCGGGGGGGTCCGCCGATGGGTCGCCGTGTTGCCGCCCGTTGCGGCCTCGTTGCCGCCCACTTTGGGGGGGGTGCGCCGCCGCCCGTGGCCGACTCGTGGGCGCCTCGCTGCCGCCCATTTTGGGGGGGTCCGCCGGGGTTTCGCCACGCCGCCGCCCGTGGCCGCCTCGGTGCCGCGCGCTTCGCCTGCGGGGTCCGCCGAGATTTCTCGCCGCGTGGCCACCCGTGGCCGGCTCGCTGCCGCTCACCGCGCGGTTTCGCTACGCTTCCGTCCGTGGCCGCCTCGGTGCCGCTCGCAGCGCCCGGGGGGTCTACCGAGGCTTCGCCTCCTCGCCGCCCATGGCCGCCTCGGTGCCGCTCTCCTGGGGGTCCGCCGTGGTTTCGCCGCGTCGCCGCCCGTGGCCGCCTCGTCGGCGCAGCGTTGCCGTCCTCCTTGGGGGGTCTGCCGAGGTCTCGCCGCGTGGCCGCCCCGTGGCTGCCGCGTCGCCGCCCACCGAGCCTTGGGGGGTCCGCCGAGGTTTGGCCACGGCTCTGCCAGTGGCCGCCTCGGTGCCTCGCGCTTCGTCCGGGTGGTCCGCCGGGGTTTCGCCGCGTTGCCGCCCGTGGCCCGCTCCTTGCCGCTCACCGCGCCGTGCTGGTGCCGAGGGATAGCTTCTGTCCCCGGAGCAGCGCTTGCCCTTGCGAGTTCTCACTTCTGCCACTGAGAAATTGGATGGGTCCGCCGAGAGTTCGCCACGTTGCCGCCCGCTGTGGCCTCGCTGCCACTTGGGCGGTCCGCCCAGGATCCGCCCCGTTGCCGCCTTTTGGCCGCCTCGTTGCAGCCCTGCGTCCGCCGAGGACCCGCCCCGTTGCCGCTGCGCTGCGGCTCGGACGATGCGCGGAGGACTCGCCACGCTGCTGCCCTGTGCCGCCTCGTTGCCGATTGGGCGGTCCGCCGAGGATTCGTGTTGACGCCCGTTACTAACCGCCTCGGAGCCGCGTCACCCCATAGATTCTCCTTTCCTTGGAGAGAGATACACTTTGATCACCCCCCTCCCTGCCCCCCGGAGTTGACGCCATCGTCCATCCTAAGTATGAAGTCGTAACACCCCAGTCAAACCAGCAATCCCCCCCATCATCCTCCGTGAAAAGACTGCGCGCACCCGTTTATCAGAAACTAGCAGTGTTCAAACATCCCTTACAACAAAGGGACGAAGTGCACTCGCGCGCGTCGTCGAGCGCGCATGCCGAAACCCTTCAACACACAGTGGCCGTCGTAAGGAACTTCAAAACGACGGTGCCAGAAGCCTACCACAAGCACATGGTTGCACAACATCATTGTTCAAACAAGAAGCCTGTGCTCGCGCTCTTGCAAGTTATCTAAATATCATGGCTTTACTGTGTTCGTCAAGTGCTATCTACAGTGCCTCTCGCGCGCCCATGCCGAAGTCACTCGGGCGCCCTTGTGCGCGTGCTGTCGCAGTAACCTCTTGTAATCATTGGGACGACGTGCGCACGCGCGCGTCGTCGTGCGCGCATGCCGAGATCCTGTGAACAACAAACATCGGGGTTGCCAGGACTTCAGAAGCGAGTGTCTCGAACACATACAAAAAAAGACACAAGTCTTCGCAACAAGTTGTTTCAAACAAATCCTGCGCCCGCGTTCTTGCGAACCCTAAATATCACCATCGGTTTATCAACATGTTCACTAACATCGTCGCGAACGGGCCTCTCGCACGCGCATGTCGGAATCGCAAGAACTCCATTTGCGCGCGTGCTGTCGCAAGAGTTCCTTTCAACGGTTGGGACGAAGTATGCACGCGCGCGTCGTCTCGCGTGCCCGCCGAAATCTGTCAAACACTTTCTAGGTGCCGTAATGATTTCAAGACCGAGTGTCCCGAAAACCCGTAAAAACACTTGGCCTCGCAACAATAATTTACAACAACAGCCTGCGTTCGCGCTCTTGCGAATTCGTAAGGACACCGTCGGTGCTTCTGTTCATTAACCTCTGCTGTCAGACGGGCTTCTCGCGCCGCATGCCGGAATCATTCGAACGCCCTTGCGCGCGTGTTGGGGGGGCACGATCCGTGTCAACTAACACCATGTGGGACACTCGCGGGTCGTCCGCGCGCCCATGCCGAACTCCGTCCAAAACCTACACCACAGACGCGAGGACGCCGCCATCGTCGTCGGGGTGATCAGTGGCGCCGTCACTGGCCGTGCCGTCGTCGTTGTCATTATCGTCACCAGCACCGCTACAAGCATCATCGCGTCGATTTACCGTTGTCAACGGTGCCATGATACCGCGCCAGTCAAGCCGCCGATTCGCATTGAAGTGCCCACTGGGAAGTGCCCAGCGGTCAGCGCCACCGCGGCCGCGTCGTTCGCGCCAAACTAGCTGGCAGATGCGCGCGCGAGCATGCGCGCTAGCGCGGCCGCTGCGGTGCGCCAGCCAGCGCCGAGCAGTCAACGTAATCGCCGCCGCATGAGCTTTGCAAACCAGGTTGCGGGCAGGTGGGTGGGATGATTGCGCGAGCAGTGGAGCAGACTTCTTCAAGTTCGGCAGGGCGAATTATACACCACACAGCTTGCACCACGTAGACTGCACCACAGCGCTTAGACCACGTAGCTTGCACCGCACATATTACACAGCATAGCGTTCATCATACAGCTCACATCCTTCCGTTCAGACATCAGCAATGGAACAACTTACTGTTTGGGTCCCGCGTTGGCTAGCACTGTTTTTTCGAAGTGGGGATCCCGCTGTAGCGCTGGTCTCATTCCAGGATGGGCGCTTTGTTCCCTTCGTTCAGAAAGACCCAGCGCGGCCCACAGTTTTGGTTCCGGTTCCTTCCTCGGCCTGGTCCCATCCTCCGCCTTCTTGGTCCCCCTGCTTTTCCCGCTCCTCCTAATCCTGCTCGTGTTGCTGCTGCTGCTGCTGCTGCTGCTGCTGCTCCTTTTGCCACATTTGCCTCCAATGCGCACGGCCTCCAAGTCTGATCGCGAATTACACCGTGGGGCCACTTGGGGGATCCAGGTCCGCTAGGAAAACAGTCGGTGAATAGGAACAAAATCCGCACAATGGGTAGGGATCGGTGGGAGGGGTAGGGTGTCGAGCGCGCGCGAAGCGTGTCCCCCCCCTCTCCCTCCTCCCCACCACCATCCTTCCCTCTCCTCTCCCCCACCCTCTGTCCTCCCCCCCCTCCCTCCGCCCTCCCCCCCCCATATCCCCCCTCCTCGCCCTCCGCGCCCTGGAGGCGCATCGGAGGGCACGTCTGAGGCCTCCTGGCGGGGGGCATCGTGGGGGCCGCCCTGAAGGCCTCGTGGGGCCCCGCTGACGGTCTGGCCGGGGCGGGCGTGTGGCCTCGGGCTGATCTTCGTATGCTTGTTGTTCTTTTTATTGTTTTTGTTGTGTTTTTGTTTTTGTATATTGTTTTATCTTTTTCTTTTTTTGGCCTGTGTTCCTCCGGCTTCTCTTTTGTGGATTGTTGTTTTGGTCTTGGGTTGTGTTGTGATTTTGATTTTTTTGTTTGTTGTTTTTCTTTTGTTTGTTTTGTTATTTTTTTTCTTTTTTTTTTGCTTTACCTTTTTTTTTTTTTGTTTTTTTTTATTATTTTTTTATTTTTTTGTTTGTTTTTTTTCTTTGGCGCTCTTTTTTTTTTTTTTTTTTTATTTTTTTTTTTCATTTTAATTCGGGTCTTTCCTGCAAAGGGCGCTTTTTTTGTTTTTTTTTTTTTTCTGTTTTTTTTTTTTCTTTTTTTTTGCCAGGCCGCTGGCACGAGTTCGTGCGGCAAGTGGGCGAGGCGCTGCCAGTGGTGCCGTCGAGGATCGGGGGGCGGGGCATGGTTGCAAAGGCTCGAACGGAGGAGGAGGAGGAGGAGGAGGAGGAGGAGGAGATCCGGGCTTTTTTTCCGCCGCTACACGATGTCGCCGCACCGCACTTCTCTTTTCTCCTTGGGTCTGATGTTATTCTCTCTCTCTCTCTCTCTCCGCCTCTGCGTTGCAGCACGTGTGCTGTTGGATCTTGCATGTCACACCTCACGGCCAGGCGGCTCCAGGGGCGGTGGCCCCCGGAGCCGCCTGGCTCGCCAGTCTGGTCCCCCCCCGGGGGCAACGGCCCCTTGAAGGGGGAGGGGGGGGGATGGCAGCGTCTGCAGCGCAGCTGCCTCGATACGCCCGTGTTTTGAACCGCATCACACGCCGTGCTAAAACACGTCAGTGGCGATACGCTGCGCGCTAGCTCGGCGTATCGGCCCACGTCTCGGCGAGCGTATCGCTTCACGCCTGCGTTCTCTGCCTACGTGTTGAGCTCCGTATCAATACGCCGCGTGCTTCGTGTTGCGTATTGGGGCAGCTGAGGTCTGGAATTATGCATGCCACTGGATCCCAGAATCCAGGAGGATGAGCCTCAGATCAATGACGATATGATGTTTCCAATCCCGGCGTTCGCCTTCAGGCTCGGTCTCTCTCTGGGGCCTTGCTGTCGGGCCCCCAGGACCGTCAGGTATGGATCGGGGACGAAACACTACCCCCCAGAACGGTCGGGACCTGTGGGGCTGCGGACTGGACCAAATCACATCCGCGGATGTCAGGTGGTCGAGTGCCTGTCCCCCCTTGCATGACGTGTTCGTCTACATCTCGTTCGAGGTGCGTTCCTTGCATTTGGCACGTGCGAGTCTGCAGCAGGTTCGTACCAGTGCGCCATCCGAGTGCGGTTTCGTGTGGGCGTCTGTGACGAACGTCGGGGGTCGACGAGGCGCTCGCCGGGCAGGGGTGCAGCGACGGAGCCGCGGCGCCGAGCACGCGTGCCGATTCGGCAGTGTCCTGGCAGTGCAGCGCGGCCACGATGCAGCACAGGAGGAGGTGGGATGCTCACAGCAGTTCACACATCCAGGGGGGAGGCGCAGGAGGTGATGCAGCAGGAGCAGGAGGAGGAGGAGTGGGGGAGGGGGAGGAAGACAGGGATGATGAGGAGGAGGCGGTGGAGGAGGAGGAGGAGGAGGAGGTGGAGGCGGAGGAGGAGGAGGAGGAGGAGGAGGAGGAGGAGGAGGGAGGAGGAGGAGGTGGAGGAGGAGGAGGAGGGGGAAGAGGAGGAGGAGGGGGAAGAGGAGGAGAGGGAGGAAGGGGAGGGGAGAAGAGAAGGGGGAGGAGGAGGACCAGTGTAAACCCATGACTCATCATCGATGTTTTTCAATACACCCTCCCACCAATATTCCTTTTCATAGGCCCATACAACGGGTCATTTCCACAGAGGGAATTGCCCCGTCGGGGGGCACCCGTGTGAACATCTTGAAGCGTGCCAGAATACCATTCTCACCACTTCGACGCCACGAGTTAACCTGACTGGTACGTCTTGGCGATCCTGGGTCGTGCCAGCACATCATTCGTGGGACTTCAACACCGCGAATAAACGTACCTGCTGCGCCCTGACAATCTTGAACCGCTTCAAAAAAAACTATTCTCGGACGTTACCCATGAGAACCAGTAAAACTCGTGCCCATGTTTAAACTGGATGTGCGCGGCGCTCAGGCGAGAGCCACATCTTCAAAAGGAAATTCAACAGGAAATACTCAATCCGTGAAACCTTGGCAATGTTTTATACGAGTGTGCGCGGCGCTAATGCGAGAGCCACATTTTGAAAACGACCCGCCCTCAATCCGTGAAGCTCTTGCAAATGTTTCAAATGGATGTGCGCGGTGCCCATGCGAGAGCCACAGTTTGAAAACGATTCGCCCTCAATCCGTGAATATGCGCGGCGCTGAGGCGAGAGCCACATTTTGAAACAGGCCCGCCTTGAATCCGTAAAACGATAGCAAATATTTAAACGAGTGTGCGCGGCGCTTGGGAGAGAGCCACGTTTTGAAATCGCTCCGCTCTGAGTCCGTGAAGCTCTTGCATGTTTTTAGCGAGTGTGCGCGGCGCTTAGGCGAGAGTCATGTCTTGAAAACGACTCGCCCTCAATCCGTGCAGCTCTTTCAACTGTTTGAAGCGAATGTGCGCGGCGCTTAGGCGAGAGTCACATTTTGAAAACGAGTCGCCGTCCATGTGTGAAGCCGTTGTCAATGTTTGAGCATCAGGGTCATAAGTGGAGAGGAAGGCAGAGGCGAAACGCCCGGCCTGCCCTTTCGACCAGCCTCGGGGTGCGACAGGGAGGACTTATTGGGAAGGCCTAGCGGCCAGTGCCGCCGACCCTGAAGAGGAACGGCAACGACGGCGGCGGCGGCGGTGGCAGCGGCGACGACGACGACGCTGACGCTCTGGAGCCTATCTTGGGGCTCTCTTGGGAGCCCCTTGGGCTCTGTTGGGGCTTGGGCTTGAGCCGCGGCTGGAACCAGGGCCAGGGCTAGGTAAGTGGTGAGGAAGTCTGAGGCGAAACGCCCTGCCTGCCCTTTCTACCAGCCTCGGGCTGCGACAGGGAGGATTTACTTAGAAGAGAAGGGAATGGAGGAGGAGGGGGAGGAGGAGGAGGAGGAGGACGAGGAGGAGGACGAGGAGGAGGAAGAGGAGAACAAAGAGGAGGAGGAGGAGGAGGAGGAGGAGGAGGAGGAAGAGGAGGACTGGAAGAGGAGAAGGTGGAAAAGAAGGGAGTCCGTGCCTGTGTTTGCTCGAGGAGGCCTCGAAGTGTCGCTCGCCGCCCCAGCCCTGCGGGAATGTCCCCTGAGCTCTTGGGAAGGACCCGCGCCAGCGCATGTGCCCCGCCGTGCCCTTCGGGCGAGCGGCCTGGCGAGCGCGGCGGCGGCAGCCGCGCCGACGCCGTGGAGGGGCGCTGCTTGGTTATGGTCGACATCGACGCCTTCTACGCCCAGGTCGAGGAGCTGCGGGAGCCAGGGCTGCGGGGTCGGCCCCTGGCCGTCTTCCAGAAGTTCCTCGTGGTCACGTGCAACTACGCGGCCCGGGCGGCGGGTGTCACGAAGCTGATGGGCAAGGAGGAGGCCTTGGCCAGGTGCCCCACCCTCGAGCTCAGGAGCGCCGAGGACTTGACACCCTACAGGAGGGCCAGCAGCCAGGCCCTCCAGGCGCTCGAGGAGTGGGCGGCGCAGCACCGCGGCGCGGTGGTCCAGCGCCTGGGCATGGACGAGTTCGCCGTCGACGTCTCGTGCGCCGCGGCCGAGCGGGCGGCCAGCGCGCCGGAAGCGCCCTGGCAGGGGCACGTCTTCCGCGCTGGAGGGGCGCTGGCCCAGGCGGCGGAGGCGCTGGCGGGCCGGGCGGCGTGCTCCAGGCCCATGGACCTCAGGGCGGTGCAGCTGGGCGCGGGAGGCCGCGAGGGCGGCTGCGGAGGTCCCGAGGAGCGCCTCCTCGCAGCGGGCAGCCAGCTGGCCGGGGAGCTCCGCGCTGCCGTCCGCGCAGCGACCGGCCTCAGCAGCTCCGCGGGCGTGGCGTGCAACCGCATGCTGGCCAAGTTGGCGGCGGGCCTGCACAAGCCAGACGCTCAGACGTCGCTCCCGCGCCAGGAAGCCGGGCCTCTGCTGGACCCGCAGCCAGTGGAGATCCTTCCGGGCGTCGGTCGTCGCCTGCGGGAGCAGCTACGTGGCTGCGGCGTGCAGACAGTATGCGACCTGCGCTTGGCCTCTCTGGCCGATCTCGCGGCGGCCCTCGCGGAGGGTGGTGCAGCGACGGACACCGCCCTAGCAGAGGCCGCTGCCGCGAGGCTGCAGAGTTTGGCGGGAGGCGACGACCCAAGGCCTGTGCAGCAGTCTGGCCCGCAGCAGCGCATCTCAGTCGAGGATTCGTTCCGGCGTTGCGCGACACTGGAGGGCGTGCAGGCCGCATTGGCAGTCCTCGCGCCAGACCTGCTCGCCCGTCTGGAGGAGGACGGCCGCGAGCCCAGGCGTCTGGTTGTCTCCTGGCGGTGCTACGGCAGCCGTACCATGAACAACCCTTCGGGCACGGGACGGGGCGTAACCTCTCGATCGGTGCCATTCCCTGCGACTGCTGGGCTGCCGGCGGCGGCGGCCGCCGCCGAGCTCTCCAGCTGCGCTGCGGGGGTCTTGCGGAGGGCCCTGGAGGCGCCTTTTCACCTGACGAAGATCAACCTGGCGGCGTCGTCGTTCGCCGCGCCGCCGCATCGGTTGCCCGGCGGCCCACGGCAGCTGCCGTTGCGAAGCGCGCTGCTAGGCCGCGCGCCAGTGATCGCGATCGACGACGATCAGGACCCCCACGCTGGTGTGCCAGCGCGCCCACAGGCTGCTGGCGCGGCCGCCGCCTCCGAGAGCTACCGCAGCGACTACGCTGGGGCCAAGCCGGCCGTGGTCTTCAGCAAGGCCGCGGAGCGCAGGCTGCGCGAGGAGGGCCGCCCGTGCGGGGGCGCGCCCAGCCAAGCCCCGGAGGCCGACGGCGCAGGCGGAGCACGCGCCAGCAGGGACGCGCGCGGTGACGTCCCGGGGCCCGCCGCGAGCAGCTTGGGGAGCCTGGCGGAGCTCGAGAGGCCGCTGGTGGACCTGCTGTCCAGCGAGAGCGACGGCGGCGAGCCCTCCCCGCGCGGCGCCCAGATGCCCCAGGGCTCCGCCCCGCAGCCCGGCGAGCTCGACGCGGCCGCGGCCAGCGGCGCCCGCCAGGCCCGCCCGGCGGGGAAGCGGGAGCAGCCGGCCGCGGCCGCGCCGGAGGCCCTGGCGCTCGGCGGCGAGGCTGGCGCAGCTGGGCCTCTCGAGGCGGCGGCGGCGGCGGAGGCAGCGGCGAGCGCGCACTCGGCGGCGGCGGCGCTGGCACGGGCCTCTGCGCTGGCGGCGGCGGCGGCCGCGCCACGGTCTCCGCAGCCCTGCCTCCAGGTGCCGCCGGCGCTGCGCCCCACGGCGCCGGCGGAGGCGGAGGCGGCCAGGGTGGAAGGCTCAGTGGCCG